CGATGATGATTTACAAACAACCGAACGAATTGATTTTGAAAATAATTATTATCGTGTACTTGCTAATGCAGAGGGAATGTTAGATAATTATCAAAAGGCTCAAAATAAAGTAGAAAGTGAAAATAATTCTACCCGTTCCAAACATAATTTAGTTAAATTACCCACTATTCAGTTGCCGAAATTTTGTGGTTCATATGAAACGTGGATGGAGTTCCGTGATACATTTTCGAGTTTAATTGATAAAAATAATCAAATTGACCAAATAAGCAAATTTCATTATTTGAGAGCATCATTAGAAGGTTCTGCTGCTGTGGTAATTAAATCCATTGAGTTATCAGATTGTAATTATCCTATCGCTTGGAGGCTTTTGTGTGATCGTTTTGATAACAAACGTTTATTAATACAAAATCACGTTGCATCCTTATTTAATATCGAACCTGTCACAAAGGAGTCCTCTGTTAATTTGAAGCGTCTGATCGACCAGGTAAATAAGAATTTACGTTCATTGGAATCACTCGGTGAACCGATCGATCACTGGGATACTTTATTGATTTATATCATTACACAAAAATTAGATATAAAAACATTCCGTGAGTGGGAAGAACACAAAGGTAATTTGCCTAAAGACAAGCCAATAAGTTTCGAAGCCTTTCTTTTATTTATGCGTAATCGTACAGATTTAATTGAGACAATTGAATTGTCACAGAATAATACAATAAGTAACAAGAACTCGACTAAAATAAAAACTATGGTTTCTTATCAAGATCACAATAAAAATAATTCTAATTTATCGTCGCCGAAGCGATGCCCTAATTGTAATGATGATCATTATTTAAATAATTGTCCGAAGTTTCTAGCGTTAAATAGCGCAGCGCGATATAAATTGCTGCCTAGTTATAGGGTTTGTTTTAATTGTTTCCGTAGTGGACATTTCGCTAATTCTTGTAAACGTCCTGGTTGTAAAGTGTGTAAGCGCAGGCATCACACGCTTATTCATATAAACGAGTTTGACGCATCTAATCAGCTGTCTACGAAGATACCTACACCTGCCGAGCGCACAGTTGATCGCGATAAAAACCACATAGTTAGTTCGATGCCTACGCGCACGGGCAATCCGAGTGTCTCGCTCATTACGGGAAGCATCACCGCTGCATGCAATACATCCAGCCAGGTAAATGTCTTATTATCGACTGCGTTGGTAAAATTACGTGATTATAATGGTCGCGAGGTTGTCGCTCGGGCTGTTCTCGATAGCGGGAGTACATCGTGCTTAATGACCGAACGACTGCATAACAAATTGAACTTACCAGCTGATCGAACTAATAGAATTATTGTAGGTATAAATAATAAAACGTCGAGTATTAATAAAATGTGTCGATTGCCTATCGCATCCTTGAGTGAAAGTTACTCTATTTTTATAAATTGTTTTATTCTGCCGTCGATTACTGATAACGTTCCCGGGTGTCAGATTGATATTAAGAATTTTAATATTCCGTCAAATATTTGTTTAGCGGATCCTAAGTTTTATGCGCCCGCCGCCATTGATATGATCATCGGCGCTGATGTTTTTTGGGACATTTTAGGTTCGCAAAATATTAAATTAGGCGATGGAATGCCGATACTTTATGAAACTAAACTAGGTTGGATAGTTTCCGGTCCTGTCAATTGCGGCCGTATATCTTATTTTCCACAAATGAAATGTAATTTTAATCAAGTTGATTCCGTGACTTCTCACTGTTCTGATGATGACATTCAAACCCAAACTTACGCGGTTTTGGCAGCTCGAAGAAGTTGGCCGTCAGTCATCTCATTATTTTCCAGAAGAGAAGCATTGTGAAGAACATTTTTTAAAGAACACAACTCGCCTCGCAGATGGTCGTTTCTGTGTTAGAATCCCATTAAAACAAACACCGAACGTGTTAGGTGATTCATATCAGAGAGTGAAGCACTGTATGTTACCATTAGAGCGCAGGTTAAAAAAAAAAAATCAGTCATTTAGTAAAATGTACAATGAATTCATGTTAGAGTATGAGTCATTAAATCACATGACAGAGTGTGATCCGATAACATCGGTCCCTCATTATTTCATACCACATCATGGTGTTCTACGCGAAAGTAGTAGTACAACTAAGTTCCGACTAAAGAAAACCCCGCGGATTTAATATCACGCGGCATTGATATTTGTTCACTTCAGTCGTGCTCTTTGTGGTGGCATGGACCAGATTATTTAAAACGCGATCCATCGCACTGGCCTGCTACAGCAAACACTACTGAAAACTTGCCTGAAACTCGTAATGATATCTCATTACATGTTCGTGAATCAAGTCAGCATGAACTCATAGATTTTAATCGTTTCTCAAAATTGCTTAGGCTCCAACGCACTGTAGCATATGTTTTAAGATTTATAAATAATTTAAAAAAGGAAACGATACGTAAAACGAATTTTTTAGATTCTGATGAACTTGAAAAAGCCATGATTGTCATTTTACGTCAGTCACAGATTCAGTCATTTCCGGAATATAAGTTGTTAATTACAGGCAAGGACTTGCCGAAGAAAAGTCCACTTATAAAGTTTAATGTTTATTTAGATAACAATGATTTAATTCGCGTTGGAGGTCGATTAGAAAATTCAAATTTTTCATTTGAAAAGAAACACCCTATAATTATACAGTCCACACATCAAGTAACTAAGTTAATTTTTGAATTTGAACATAAAAAATTAATGCATGCCGGTCCTCAACTTTTATTGGCTACGATTAGAGAAACTTATTGGCCCATAGGCGGTCGAAATCTCGCAAAGAGGTGTTTTCGGCAGTGCATGCGTTGTCAACGTATGAATGGAAAATCATTTAATCCGTTAATGGGTAATTTACCTCAGCAGCGTCTTCAACCTGGTGGCTATCCGTTTGATAGTGTAGGTGTAGATTACGCCGGCCCGGTGGCCGTCGCGAGTCGTACTGGTCGCGGATGTAGGCTTATTAAATCCTACATTGCACTTTTTGTATGTTTCACGACTAAGGCGGTACATCTGGAGTTGGTGGGTGATTTAACGAGCAATAACTATTTATTAGCGTTGCGTAGATTTATATCACGCAGAGGAAAGCCCACTCATATATTTTCTGATAACGGTACCTCATTTGTGGGCGCTTATAACGATATTTCAAAATTTTTAAATAGTAATAGTGACTCACTGGCTTCGGATATGGCACAAGAGGGTATTCGTTTTCATTTTATACCTGCTTATAGTCCTACTTTCGGTGGCCTCTGGGAGGCTGGTATCAAGTCCTGTAAATTTCATTTAAATAGAGTGCTGGGCCAATGTAATTTAACGTTCGAGGAGCTCACTACCACGTTAGTACAAATCGAGGCGATACTTAATTCTCGGCCACTCTCTCCGTTGTCATCGGACCCCGCAGACTTGACACCACTCACACCCGGCCATTTTCTCATCGGCCGTCCACTAACTGCTTTGCCGGACCGGAATTACAGTGGCTATCCTACCAGTAGATTGACACGTTACCAGCGCATTGAACAGTTACGTCAGCATTTTTGGGCAAGATGGAGCAAGGAATACGTTAGTGAACTTCAACAACGAGTCAAATGGCAATCTGACGGATACTCTTTGAAGATCGATACTCTTGTCCTGTTGAAGGAAGATGGTCTTCCACCGTTAAAGTGGAAACTTGGACGTATTGTGGCTGTTCATCCCGGTACCAGTGACAACGTATGTCGTGTTGCGGACATAAGAACGGCGAACGGTGTTGTCCGAAGAAGTTATAGCAGGATAGTACCACTAATGATGCCTGGTGAAGATTTGGTTGAAGGACAAGTCTTCAACGCGCGGGGGCATGTTCGAAACGAATAATCGACTCGCCACATCACTAGTTTTAAGTTGCTGTAACGGTTTTTTTTTTCATTATTTATTTCTTTTTCTATTGGTTCAAGCGAGTACACGCATTTGTAAAAAACCCGAATTTTATTAATTTGCACCTTTTAATACCAGACCCCTACACTCATTCATTCCTGAATATACTGATTCGTTAAACGAGGCATACTCTAGGTTTCCAATATAAAACTAATTGTAAATATATTTTACTTCAGATTGGGTAAATATAAAAGATGAACATAAGAAACCATCTTAATTTTGAAAGAGAAAAAAACAGACGTAGCGACGCATGAAATTTCCAAAGTTTATTTGCACATACTAATAAAAATTGTACGATGAAGACTGTGAATTGCTATTCCTATCGTTGTAAACTCATAATAGTATAAATAAACATCTTTGCTAAATGGCTTTACCTTAATTCTATCGGCTACAATAGAAGATATGTTTCGCACTCATCTATCCCTTTAACTAAAGTGTCAAATTAGCCAACCACCGAATCCTTAACACCAACTTATCGAAGACACTTATCTAAAACCTTATATGTAACAACACAAGCGACATATTTCTTTGATTCGTTACATTTTTGCCGCGCTGTAAGAAAGCAATTAGAGGACAACCATTTTATGCGGAGCTCCAGAGACGCGTAGCGTAGACAGTTTCGGTAAAGAAAAATGGGGTCGGAGGGATCTTCTTGCATTAGTATAGCATGCTTGACATATGTTCGTCTCGCAAAGCCAAGGGATTGAGTGGTATAAGCCCTTTTGGTTCATTATTGCCCCTTTACCCTTTTTGAAGGGCCCTCGCTCCAATGTTTGAAGAGTTCTCTCGTTTCAGTTGATGCGAAAAGAAATTTCGTTTAGTTGAGTTTATTGATATTAAAATGTCATAGTTTTGGTGTTTAGTAAATATCTGTAGTCTTTTGATATTAATAGTGTTATAAAGATTATATTCTATGTTATAATTTTTTTTCGAAAGTAATGTATTCAAATAAGTAACGTTAATAAGTTTATAATTGAACCCAGCCCAGTGTCACACGATGATAAACTTTCCACACGTTTTTTTTTTTATTCAGCAGTAAAACCACATCAAAATCTTTTTCATGGTTTAAAAAGAGTTAACCCTAGCAGAATAACATCCAATTATGATCGTACGTACGCCTTTACTGTTATTCATGTTTACACATAAAAAAAAACAATTCTTACCTGTACTCTAACTTCGGGGAGATTGACCTTCATCGCCAGTTCCTCTCTCGAATATACGTCAGGGTAGTGGCTCTTCTCGAATGCTCTCTCCAACTCGTGGAGTTGGTACGTCGTGAAGGTAGTGCGGTTTCTTCTGTGCTTCTTCTTGTTGTCAGCTGCTGACCCTGGTCGGGGAGTTTCGTCATCGCTGCCCGGGGGTGACTTTTCATCAGGGGGTGTTCTACTGTAACCATCGTTACTGTTGCAGGAACCCTCACCTGAGGAAAAGAATATAATTAATACAGAAATCGATGATCTTACATCATTTATAATATTATACGATAATCAGATACAGTTGTTAAGCAAATTTCGCAATAAAATTACTTAACAACTGTATCGTAGACCAAGGGCACTAGCCATTGCGCCATCGAGCTTAAATATCATGTTATTATTTTTGTAACTTGGCGTTATATTTATATATTCTTGTCAAATATTCCGATTCCAGTTATCTAAAACTATATATAGTATGTACGTCCCACTGTCTGTACGATGAGATCTTTTAAACTTTACAACAGATTTTGACGCATGCAATGCATGCATATAGATGATTTAAGAGAAAGGTTTTATAAAAACAAAACTGCTCATCCGATTTCCATTTAAAAAATGAAGGGACCGCTTCAGGCTTATTTAATTTTGAAAATCGGACCACGATCCGCGCAGAAATAGGATCACGTGCATACATTAACAATAAATACTCATCGAATATAGAACCTCTTCCTTATCAGTTCTGAGTTATGTAGTTAATCATATAAACTTAATATGAAAATTTATTTATTTTTAACACTCCCGTATATCGTTACCATGTGTTATGAGAAGCTGGCTCCTCCTTAAATAGATTACTAAGTATTATTACAAAATAGATAGTAGAATGCTTGTGTGTGTGTGTGTGTGTGTGTGTATGTGTGTGTGTGTGTGTGTGTGTGTGTGTGTGTGTGTGTGTTCGTGTGTGGCTATGTTTTACAATCATCATATATTTGTCAGGATTTTAAGAAAGGCTTGTAATTGTTTGTGTGTCCTAAGTCATCATACTTATATTTATATGGCAAACATACTCTTATGAATCAATGAGCGAAACAAGATACTTTCATATTGAAAATCTCTTTCATAACTGAAAGCGGATGTTATTGCATACCTCAAAAAGTAGCCTGTTATAAATTTGAATATAATTGGTCTTACTTTTTATTGTTTGGTATTGTTTACTCTTTATATTTAAGACAGGGTGAGCCGCCATGTTTAATTAACTCTCAGTAGGCATGATTTTTCGTAAAAATTTTTTTGGTAATTTTCGTAAAGTCTTGTTAATTTACCAACATAAAACCTTGAAAATTCTTTATGTAGTTTTTGATTTTATCGAGTTTAATCAGACGAACGGGAATTGTTTTATCTTGGGAGTGCATTTTTTAAAGTATTGTGTGAATTGTATTAACCTAATTTACAAAGTCGCTTGCCAACCAATATATGATTATTTATTAGATAGACAACCGCTTATATTATTTCAGATCTTTACACTTATATTGAAAGGTGAAATATCTAAGTAAATTAACGTAACAAATATTACAGATATATAAAGATTTTTTATTATTTATACATAATCTGTCCTTAAAACGATACATGCATGCTATTAGATTGTACACAACTATCACTATGATAGCAAAGCAAACCACAATTACTATCCTCGGTAATAAATCAAACACAGCATTTATTTGCATATGCAAATATGATATATTCAGCAACCGCTTGTCTTGTATGTAATGTAATTATAGTTCAATTTAACACTTATTACAATAAATACAACAAGTACAATACAATGTTAAGGCGATTTGCAAATGTAATGTCTAAGTGGTATTTAAATAAAGGCTTTACGTCTTACTCATTGTACGTCTACAAATGGTCAATCTGAAACTTTTCAGTAGGCTAATTAGTTTTTTTCTTTATTATCGTAAGAACACAATTTCTTGTAAGAATAGGTTAGCACAAATTTATCGAGTAAAAACGTAAAATTTACAATACAATAATTATTAATTGCCCAATAACAATTTAATTCGCACTTTAGTTTATTGGTAGCATTATGGCAGATATGGAGAATAATTGTATACTGTGTAGTATTAAATAACACGAAGGAGGTTTAAGATGGACATGCTAATTCAAAAAAAATCAACAGGTACAAAATTATTACTACAGCAATATAGAGTAAAAATGACTACAGAAATATAACTACATAAATGATGAGTAATTTCCTTTCCTTTACATGTTACTTAAAAAGAGTTTCGTATCCCACAAAATAACTATAATCACTTTAAGGAGCTTCAAGACGATAAATTTCTGTATAATTTCAAACATACATCATGCCGTATCTCGCAATCGACCATGCCGGATGTTAGGCTATTAACCGCAATACAGTGACAAGCGGAGCGGGAGCGGCATGAGCAACGATAGCAATGTAGACCCTAGCAATAATCGCACCTCGGATCAACCTCATTGGTTACGATATTGCCTCTGCGCAAAGTTTAGCAATGTCGACCCTCGTACAACGCTAGGATACAACTTGCATTGCAAATATGAATTCTGACTATAAGTTTATGTGATAAAACAATGAAAAAATGTTACCATATTGGATCAGTTTTATTAAAAATATTTCCATGTTGAGTTGATGTTACAAAAAAGGTCAATTCTTTTAATCGATATTAAGTCTATATCTATAGCAATATACATTTATTTATATAGGTATATTTTTTTCTGATGACACTTTAGTATAACACTTATTACAAAAATTTGAGCTTAAGGTTGTAAACTTATAAACTTATTTTATTAGATATGCTGCTGCGTATACTTTAAATTAAAAAATAGACACTTTTATCAATTTAAATTTTATGAGAAAATACGAGACGTCTATCTGACTAAATTTTGGTTATAAAATTATTAAAGCTCTACCTATATATCCGACACGTTGTTCACATCACCATAATTATATATTGCTACAGTTTTATGTTCAAATTATATTTATAAAAAAATTATTCGCGTTTTCATTATATGTCAAAAATATGATATAGATATTGAGTATGTTGTCATCAACCCTCCAATCCGTTTTGGGCCAGCGTGGAGGGTCATGGCCCATCCTCCTTAACCATCCATAAGGTAGGTTTGAGCCCCTGCAGTGGGGACGTAAAAAGGCTGGTAATGATGATGTTTCACATAAAGTGTAAAAAATGATACATGGTCATTGATTACTGCTAATTATCATTATCGCACCTCTCCGCTTGTCAATGAGTGTGTAGCCTGTGTATCACTCCCCGAATAATATTGGTTCTTTACTTATTCGAATGCATGTTTCATGGGGAAATGTTTGTTTTGGAAAATTGATGTTGGTGAAATGATAAATTGTTTTGCGGCGAAGGGAAAATTGTTTTCTACGTGGCTATTGTGTTACCTTTAGCTTATGTAGCTGAGGAACTGAGGACTATACAAAAAATTATCTTCTCAATGAAAATAAAATAGATAACTTTGGATAAATTTGTACTTTTTAATTTAATATGTCAAAACATAATCTTTTATTTCAGAAATTTTAATCCTATACCGTTTAAAACTTAATCAAAAGTTAAACATAATAAAATAATATAGATTAAAGTTCTTATAGAATCAAAGTGTCAACTGTCACTCGTTTTAACGATTAAGAAATCAGAGATCGAAGTGACAAAACGACCCATCATTGTAGAAGCCGTGTCGAGCAAGATTGAGCGATCATAAGTCAAAACAGACTACTGTATCACCGTCACTTTCCCACATACAAAGCGACGGAACGAACGAAAGAGACAGCCGGTGCATTTAGATCACTGAAATAGATTACCAGCGAGCGTACAAAACAAATAAAAATATTATGAGCAACGCATTAAGACGTTTTACACTTATCGCGATACGATCGGCGCGTTTTTTTCTTTTTTGTAATAATTATCGATAATCTGGCAACACTCGCAAGCATTATCGTCCATAATGGCTTGTCTTGTTGTTTTTTAATGTGGCAACCCTAATCATGTGTCAGATTTGTTCGCATCGGCTACAGTAGGAAAGTTATTTAAAGAAGTAACTCACCTTCCTCCTTATTGATTGATTTTATCGTATTCTCATCTCTTTAGTAAAAGTAATGAAATATATTTCCGAAGGCTTGCAAATTCTCTCTGACGCGTTTATTATAGTTATTGCGAAAATGCTTGAAAAAGAAGCATTATTTTTCTACACATTTATGAATATGCATGCGTTTTTAATTCCTGTGTAACAGAATATTCCTACTTATTTATATCAGGCTTTCGCTAATATATCAATAATTAAATGATACACAACCAAAACCTTCTGACCTCCATTTAAACTGTGATCCGATCACGCTAATGAATTTCCAAAATGGCTGCTATATCATATAATTCACGTTTTTTGTCGGCCATTTTCAATCGATTCCGTTAGTTAATTGATTGTGATTAAGTCAATTTTGTTTCTGCCCTCACGTCATATCGATGTTGCTCAGACAGTTTGATAACCTGATATGTTAATCACAATTTCATTGTCCGTGTTATACGAGGCTGTGAAACTTAATTGATCGAGATGTTAGCGAAATACTCAACCTTCTCTCGATAATTTCGTGTTAGTACGCCATTAAAATTAATCAGGCGTCCGATTGTGATCTTGTTTTTGTAACGCAACTTCGTTTCGAATAAAGTACCATTTATGTTGCTGTTATTCCGCACATACCGTGGTAGGTAGGTAGATAAGATTCTGCTTTAACTTATAAGCTAGACAAGTCTACATATTCTTCAGTTTTTGTATCAGAAATCTCGGTAGTCAGCTTGTAAATTTATTTTATAATCAAGTATAAAGACTGCTTTTTTATGTAAAGTACGATTTTGAGACTTTTCCACGTTTAAAGTTCTATCATTTCAAATTGTAGTAATTATAAATATAAATAGTAGTCATATATAAAAAAGTGCAGAAATGTGGCCATATAAATATTTATAAGAATTGGATCATTAGTTTCTTTGTGAACGCCTAAGTTTGTTTACAAATACCTTCAAACTCTAAAACAGAATTGAAAGAATCGCGAAATAACTCTTAGTTACTACAAGGCTGTTAACAAATTAAATAAATTTCATTTAAGTAGGACGGTTAAAAGTATGGCCCATAAATTCTCGCCTGAATTCAAAAGAAGTTATTTGACTTTGTTAACCACCTTTCT